AAAAGAACAATTTAGGGAAGCACCAGGTAAGTTTTGGGAAGGTTCAGAAAAATAATTCTGGAATCACTTTGAATGTTCAGAGAAAGTGTTAATGAGCACCTAGAAAATGTAACCTTTAGAGTAACAGTAAAATGTATTTAGCTCTACCAAGGTTGTTTACCTAATGGAGCTTTACAAATAAACTAAAACATCAGAACACTGGTAGAAATTGATTTTTGTGATTTAGTTTAACAGAGATTAGTGTACGGGAACACTCTATGTTTGGGGTGAAAAACTTCTTTACAGATGGTCGTCTGGTCTAAATTCATCAAAACAACCCTTTTAGCCTTTTGTCTGTGTCGAGCGTTACTGATTGCCTCCATCACTGAGTCATTTCAATCACCTTTAACAAGCTCTCAAGGATAAGATGTCCTGTTCATATATCAGCCCTCCAGACACTAGATGATACAGTGATCTACACCCAGTCAACAGTGCACGCAGTGAGAGGACACTGGTGAGGATAGGAATAGGAAGAGGGTGCCGAGGGCTATGCTGCAACTACATCTCTCTTCTTTATACCACTCCCTCAAAGGCAACAACTTTTTAAGGAGTGGCAAGTCTAAAACGGGAGAAAATAGGAAAAAATAAGGGGCAACTAATGGACATGTCAGGGGTAACTGTCATTGTCCGGCGGCTGGTGGGGGCTAACCAGGCCTCTGTGGCTGACGGATGTTCCAGGTACCTATGGGCTCGAAGCGGTTGCGGGAGGAGAGAGAGACAGCTCTGTCGGCGCTGTGTCTCACTTCAGCTCCTGTCACCGGATACACGACTGATAGTCCATCTGAATATGACCGCACTGTCAGCCGCCAGACAGCTCGCCCGCTCTCCCCTGTTGCCCGCCTGCCTACCAGCTCTACGCGCTCATCATTTCTCAGCGCGGACTGCCTGAACCTGCCAGGAGTTCAGACAGCTGCAGAGGAAGTGAGGAAGTCTGCGCTGCACTTCAAATGCCTTTCACAAATACCTTAAACTTGTGACTTATCTTTCTTCGCTTGCCTATATTTTTGTATTTTGCCTAGAAATGCAAGACTATTAGTTATGGAGAAATCTTAATATAGTTTTTTGATTGTAATTCGATGACCGTTCTAAGTTACTTTAAGACATTTTTTATATTACACACCAAAAGACTATTAATGGGGTATCAGTGGAAAACAAAAAACAAAGCAGTTTATACCCATAAAAATGCGGGTTTTCAAAACTGTTTTACAAATAAAAATATAAAAAGCGTGGGATGCATATCAGTGGCGGCTGGCCAATAGAGGGCGCTTGGCCGCTGCCCCAACCAACCTATGACTTTGATTAAGACATAAAAAAAACTAATAAAAATGTAATTATAGAATTAAAATATTTCAAAATATACTAATATATTTTTTAGATGAGCCTGGACCAGGACCCGGTTTAGCTACAAGGCTTTGCTAACTGCAAGCAGCGAGGCTAACGCTTTATTCTGCTTTCCCTGCCTTTCCACTTTCCCTTTTTCAAACGACCCATCCCCATGATGAATCCCCATGTATGTTGAGTCCCCTAATGGGATTGTGAAAAACTTTACAAACTTTTCTTGTCTTTGTTTTCTTTGTATGCCTTTCTATAAAGTCCAGATTTGTACAGCTCCTTTTTGGGTTGGGAGTAATCTTTGTCTTTTTTTGTTACATATTCTAATCCTCTAAAGCCTTTTAGTTTAGCTAAACATATTTTTGTTCAATGTATACTATACCTATTTTTTTTTTTGGATAATGAATAAACAGTGCTGAAAGAGAAACTAAAATCTTGATATACCTTTTTATAAACTAATCTTGCTTTAAACTTCTCCAGAACTTTGCCTTACTACGCTGCTGTGTTAGTGAAAAACAACAAAAAAAAAAAAAACCTCTGCTTTTTGTTCTCTAATGTTCTTTAACAAACCTCCGAGGCCTTCACAGAATAGCTCATAGTGAATTCCAGGAGGAGAGTGTCCTGCAAAAGTCCAATCAGCTGGTTTTCCTTAGAAGGAAATAATTTTACCAATCTTACTGTATAATCTGATTGAATTGTCTTTAAATTAGCACTATATAAATCAAATGAGTAGGTAACCTTATCTAAGGAGTTTTGAGTAAAATGAACTGAGTAAATGGAAAAGAAATGGTGATGAAATGTTATCTTTCATTTTTTTCAATCTGTTTAAGCGCTGGAGTGGTTCTTACTTCGACAGGGACGGCTGTTGGAGGCACAGGAGTGTACTGGGGAATGTAGGTCCCTTGCATAGGCGCAGCGGCAGCAGCTGCAGCAGTCATGTACTGAAACACAGAAACACAAAAAAATCTATGTAGTTCAACATAACCCTTTCAGATGAAAATTCCTAAGATACTCATTAAAATCACAAATCCCAGAATCATATTACTGTAGAACCTAAATACATTCCTTATATAAAAGAAAAAAAATATGATCGTAATACTTCCCCACTCATTCAACATAATTATTCCCACAACTATTAGGAAAGCCCACACTGCTATGTTTTGAGAATCCTTCAGAGGGCGCTAAAAGAATAGAAGTACACTATGAGAAGAGCACAGCAGATTGGGCAAGTGTGTAACAGAAAGAGAGGAAAAGGAGGAGGGGGAGATGTCCTGCTGTCCCACAACTTCAAAAGCCTGGGCAAATAGACTGGGTAACTGCTGAAGAGATAAAAAAAATAATAAAAATAAGAGTCTAAAGGGAATTAACCATGTGTTAAAGAGAGCAGGAGGTCTGTTGCCTGCAGCCTGGGTTCCTTTAGTCATACCTGCCTTTGCTTTTAACACGCTCTGTATGGTGGGCATGTTACAGGCATGACACAGGTTTGGTTGCATGACAGGCAGGAGGGCTTTCGCATGTAATGTGAATGAGGTTTTTCCTGCATCCTGGAGAAAGTTGTAACTTGAGCCTGATTTTAATTAGCACACAGAAACACACACACCTTCATCAGTTCTCCTCAATGCAACTGTGTGTATCAGTGTGTGCATGTGTTCTCCTGTGCAGCTGCATGTGCAACACATTCATCACATGCCCCTGTTCCATTTTGCGTGAAAAGAAAGACAGACAAAGACAAAGAGGCTTGGAACGATAATGTTGTGGTCCAGCGCCAACGGATGTGATCCGAGATAAAAACCGCCGTGGAGCTTCCCCCGGTCTTCCTGCTGCCTTCCGGACTGAGAGAAAGGGAGGTCCGATCTGTTTTCCCTCTCTCTCACACTCTCTCTCTCATTTCCCTCTTATTTTTTTTTTCTCCCCTGCCTCTGTCCTCTTTGCATGGTGGAAATGTGCAGCAGGAGGCGGTAATGGAGGGGGTTATAACGGGCTGTGAGGCTCTTTTTGGCTGCAGGCCCGCCAATGCTGGTGGAGTGTCATTACCGGCAGCGTCGCTAATGGATCGAGTACGGCTCCGCCGCTCACCACTAATGAGAGGAGCTAAAGGCCACGGACACGGGTGATTAACTCCCCCACCGTTGCCACACAGAGCCGGGAGGATGCCCCAGGATGGATGTTAGTCTGTGTTCATCAGTGAGCGTGACCGCACAGGTCTTTGGACGTGAATTTAAGGTTATCACACCTCCAGGGCTGTCAGACTCAGGACAGGGTGAAGCAGTGTATCCAGACCTCCTGACACATCACATCTTCTCTTTCCTTCTTCCCTCTCACCTTTCTGTCATGCTCTCTTTCTTACTCCATCCCTTTTTCAAAGGGAGCCTATCAGATTGTTGAAGTGACCTTCTCCCTGTTGAATCAAAACCATGCATACCAATTTCTTCTTGGTACTTGAGGTTTTCCCCTCTCTTCCCTATTAACTTATTCAGGCAACTCACCTGCAAGGGCAACATGAAAGCAAATGAAGGGAAGTAAGGGATAATTAGCCATTATCACAATCTCCCTGTCATGGGGAAAATGTCCATTTGAAATGTGATATTTCTCTGCAGGAGTTTAGATTATATTTAGCAAGACGATTTAATAAGGTAAGATTTTTCCACTATCTGACCATTAGTTAACCTATTTAAAATGGCAGGTTGAATAAGGGCTACTTGTGAAGTTGCTTGTGTGGTAAGTCAGGGGTTTTTTTTTTTTTTAAATTTTAGCTTTCTCAGTCTTTTCTTGTCTAGTAAGTCAGAGGCTTCCAGTAATATTAAGCACACTATTTGGCAAAAAATGTAATTTTCTGAAACGCATTTACATTTATGCTCATGCAAAAAGACATGCAGGTCAGAAGCGGATGATGTATGTACATTCTGATAAACAGTAGGCTTGAAAAACTCCCTGTCAAGACTGGTGTGAGTAGACTCCTTAAGCCCCTCTAGTGCCATCGCTCACGACTCCAGTGTGACTTCAGACTCCAATGAAGCAATGCCATGACAGAATTCCATAGGATAGATTGAAATGCAGTTACCAGAGTGGTTTGGTAAGTTACTCCAATATTTTGACGGCAATTTATTTTTGGTGGCAACAAGGCTTTAAGCCAACAAGACCTCCATTAAAAAGAAGCTTTGGGGCAGCTGTGCAGCTAAAGAAAGACTCCAACATCTTCTTTTACCCACAAATCATCTTGTAATTGATTGATTGACTTTATTGATCTTACAGTGGAGAAATGTATTTGTTATATTGGTTCAAATAGTCAAAAAGAGAAGAAGAAGGTGCAAAAGGAAGAAAAAGGTGCTTGGGGTATATACAGTACACAGAGTATACAGTGTGTGCACATATAATCTTGCAACGGCTCATTGTAATTGCAGGGCACATGATATTTCAAGAGGTAATTCTTAATAGAGAATTATTAATATAAATATAAAATCCTAAACTAACTTAAAATAATTACACTTTAAAAGAGGTGGTTTTGTTATGACAGCAGTTGTGGTTGTATGGTTTGAGGGGGTCACACCTGTTTTTTAACCACTTGACTACATTATAAAAACATCAGATTTTCACCTTCTCCTTTATTTTCTATATTCCCTCACCTGCTTTTTTACTGCAAAAGGTGTCAGACACAACTTATTGACTCACAGTCAACTTGACTCTGTGTCCCTTTTTATGATTTATTTTATGATTTGTTTGCTGCCTTGAAATACACCGAGATGATGTAGGGTTAGAAATTTCATGCCATCTTTTTTTTAACAGTTGCTGATCACACAAGGTGCCTCATTAAAATCCTAAGATAATGCCATGCTTTTGTCCTGTTTTACAGTTAACAAAATGTCAATAAAGACAACAACCCTGAAGTCACAGCTAGAGTTGAACCACTTAGATCTCCAAAGCTGTTTAAGATATACCTCACTTGGAGCTGCAACAAAAGGTGGTTCTACAGTGCTGATGCTGCAGGGATGAAACTAAACGAACACGCTTTCGATTTTTTGTTACTACCTACAGCTTCCATTGTGTTGGTCCCACAAAAAAACTAGATTAAAAGTTTGTAACTTTAATAAATCTGGATATGTTTAATGTGTGAAAATACTTTTATGCATTTCTGTCTCTCAGAGCAGGTCATTGGAGGATTATTAAAATATAAAAATATTATTTTTTGAAAATATTCCACATACCCTTATCCCTGCTAACATTCCTTGAAGCTGGTATATTTAGTTACTTGTCACAGTTTGGTTGGGGATTGTTTTTGGACCCAAATGCAGAGACCAGTGAAGTAGAGAAGAGTTGCTATTGATTTAATAAAAAACTGAAGAAGACATGCAAAAATGCAAAATACAAAAAAACACAAAACATCAGGGAAAACTCATGTGGGAGGCCAGGAATGAGGAAGCAACTAACAACAACTAAACAACAACAAGGAACCAGCACAGAGTGACTGCAGAGGTGGAGTATATAAGGGTAACAGAATAAAGGATGGGGTAATGAGCTGAATAAGGAGCAGGTGTGAGTAGAACCAACTAGAAGGAAGCCAAGGGGAAAGAAAACAAGCACAAGGGGATAACAGAGAGTAACTAAAGACTGCTTGGAGATAATGGAAAATAAACCAAAGATCAATAAAACAGAACAACTAATAACTGAAAACTAAAAACTCAGAGCCCCAAAAGGGGAGAACCATAATATTACCAGCCTTTAAGTGTCTGGTACATAGTAGATAAACTTATGCTTAAGACTAATAATAATCCACACTGCCAGTTTAAGCAGACTACACCTCAGTTTAAGGTTTCTAAGAGAGCTTTGGCTCTTTGCTGGTGTGGATAAAAGGGAAGGTGGACAAAAGCAATTAATGAAACACAACAAACTTAGAAAGAAAAGCTGCCCACCAATCAGGAGAGGATTCCAGGGTAACATCTAAACAATTAGATGTCTAGCACTCTGTTTTTTTCACATTTGAAAAACCCTTAAGACATTTGCCAATCTTCCCAAGAATGGACCCCTGAGCCAAAGAGTTCTGTCTCAAATCCCATAGCTCTTCATTAGGTGCATGTTCAATGGTGGAGTATTGAACACTAGAAATGCTAAAGAACATGCCAGCATTGGGTTATAGGTTTGCAAAGTGAAAATACAACATATGACTGATTGCAATGCACAGTATCATGTTTGGACTAAGCCAAACACTGCATAAAACTGGTCAGGTATAGGAAAGTGATGATTTGGGATTATTTTGCAGCTTCAGGACCTTAGTCAGCGATACACTTTTCTATTTAACAGTTACTTTTGAGCCATTAGGGACTGTAGGGAGGCTTTCTCTCTGAGTACCACAGCGACTGATCCTGGTCAGGAAGTGTAAACAGGAGACCAGGTTGTCCAAAACAACATGAGACATTTATAAATATATAAAGTTGTTGCTGATGAAAGAAGCTCATGGTATGTTTCTTTCTTCATACTCCACCTCTTAATTAATTTATTTTTTATTTAATAATGACAAAATTAAGTTGTTCTGCATTGCTGTAGACTTTGATAGATACAAACACGTTTAGCCAGATCATAAAAGTATTTTAGCTTGTAATATCGTTGATATATTCCTTTATTACATTGTTATAAACCATGATAATATTGTTAACATGATACATTTGCTACATTTGCATACATTTACCTCTCTATTTTTGTTATTTTTATAAAACTGAAACTTTAATCCATGTTTGAAATGCAGTGTAAGAGTTCCCCCCTTTTAAAACTTCTCCTTAAAGTTATTAGAAACATTTTTATCTGTTTGAATGTAGAAAAATCAGTATTTTTTCTTGCTATTATTGAAGAAATGTATAATAAATGGAGAAGAGTCATGCTCCAAAAAGATTTAAAGGACCAAGTGGAACAGCCAAAAGAAAGTGCTTCATATGTCTTCCTGGTAGAGGGGTTGTCAATCATCAGCATCACTATGACAACATAGACCCGGATTATACATGCCATGACAGGAATAGGATGAGGAGCACAGAGGGAAGGTCACCTCTTGTCATGTCAAACATCAAGCTGTTCACACACAGATGCAGAAACTGACAGGCATGCAAACGCACACAGTGAGTAGTAGTAGTACTAGATGAAATGACAAAGGGAACATATGCACTTCCACACATGCACAGAAGCTAATAGGCGCACACTGCCGTGACAGATAGACTCCTTCTAAGTGCTGAGACTTCAAAGACTGTAAATAAATCAGTAACAGAGTAATATGCACCAAACATGGTGTCATAAATCAGTGAGCAGCATGGTTGGCATGTTTATGTGGGCTGTCCATAAACAGAAAGCCTGAGGTTCTTTAGTATTCTGTAATCAAGTTGTTTGTGCCAAATAGACGCCAAACTTTTTCCTGAGAAGCAGCTAAAATTCCAAAGTAGTGACCGTTAGGAGCTGGTGATGTACGTTTCCTTGTAATGAAGCACACTTTTCCTCCAGAACCACACTGCAAAATAACACGACTTTCTTGGAAATCTACGGTCACCATCAGAGTGTCACAGCCTGGGCAGATGGAGAACATTCAGTTCTTTTTTTGGGAGAGGGGAAGGAAGAAAAACAGCCGCAGCCAGCCGGGGAACAGCCAAGATTTTTCTGAGGTGTGGCTCCTCCTGCTAGAGCCAGTCTGGATAAGTTGTTGACTCTGGAGACATTACACACTGCAGGTGCTCTCCTGTGGCCAGGGTGAAGTCATGTGACCTATAGGGGCCTTCAAAACAAGCCCTCACCACCACATCTGAATGTACATCTGAAGAATGTGCACGGATAGTTGCACATCCTGGGTTCTAAGCCCCTTCAACAGGCTTTACCAATTAGGCTGAATGAAAAGGCCTTTCACATTTGGCTTAAGAACCAACTTTACAGGAAACACGTCTCAATCCCCATTGATGATCGAGTGTGGCATGCTGTGTGAGCCGCTCAGCCGCGGAGGAGTTTTGCTTCACAGCACATTGCCTCGGGAAAGCTAAGCAGGCAGAAAGAGGGTAAACCAGACATGGAAAGGAGCAAAAATGTCTTAACTCCTTTCTCCTATAATAGAACCAATCAGACATCAGAAGCCATCATCATAGATTAGCCTGTCTCTAATCCTGCCTTTTAGCACAGCTGGGGCAGATTAGGAAGAGGGGGGGCATTCCAAACAGAACCAACATGTCATCAGAGTCGCTGACAGCTCACCTGAAAACACAGGAGTAACTGTACAATGCAGCACTGTTTCAATCAAACTCACACAGAGAGATCAAACGTAGCATCGGAGCAAAGCTGTCGGCTTGTCTGCCCTCAGGCAGCAGGGTTAGGGCAGACAGTCGAGCTTCAGAGCAGTGTGACACTTCTAAGTCCACTTGATCCTAAAATGTGGAGGTTGGGGGGGTGGGCAGGATCTGTACAGTAAATGTATAAGGACGTCAAGAGCTAGTGATAGGGATATACTGTATGTTTAGATTTAGAAAGTGTGAGAAATGAACGGTTGAAAGTGAAAATGGCGATGAGCAGAGGGGAAAGCTCCACAGGAAATCTGTTTAATGTTGAAGATTAGGGAGGAAATATGCTCTCCCAACAGCTAGTGGTGAATTCAAGCGGTTTCAAATGAAATAATATGATAGATTTACGGCTGAGAACATGTGGCGACACTCTAAGACTGTTTGGCTTCTCTGAGAGGAAACCCGAAAACCTTCTCTTAACTTACTTTTGTGTTTCTGTAGAAAATAAAAAATTTTTTAAAAGATAAAAGTCTCCAGATTAGTGACCCTTACTTAACCTTATCAATTCTGTTTGCAGTAATTGTAACAATATCTGATGATTAATTAACAAAACACATCTTAGCTGCTTCTGGTAGCTCCTGCTGCAGGAATTTATTATAAAGCTTGAAGGATGTGGTTAGTTTTACACAAATTATGTCTTCCAGCAATTATCAAAATTTTTTTAACTGAGGTTTTATTTAAGATCTTATTTAGAGTTTCATGTTTTGATGCTCTTAAATGTTTTATATACACATAGAATATTATACAACATGTGGAACTGACTTGATACAACATCCAAAAACATCTTTAAAGCCGTTCTTTCTTAATTATACACTTCACTGAACTAGGACCTTAGAAACTGTCAAATCTTGTCATCTCTTTTAGATCCAACTGATTACTAAAGTGGTGTGCAGCAGCTCTAGATTACTCCCTTGTTTTTTCTTTATATCTCCAAGGAGACAGAATATCTTATATGGAGTTTTAGTGGAGGTTGGGTTTAGGATGTATCCTGGTTCTAAAGACACCTAAAAGACCTGCAATACATCTGGTTACAGTTTTTAAAGATGGATTAGGTGCTTGTTGGACTTCAGAGGCAGAGTGGCTCTCATCCTGGCTTTGGAATTAACCGTATCTGTTTTCATGGTGTTGCTGAGGGGTCAGTCATCTTGTAAGTCTGAGGTCATGCTTCTGAACTGGAAAAAGGTTGTGGCTTCCCTCTGGGTTGGAGATCAGTGCCCACTTCAAGCTGGTAGACGGTAGGAAGAAACATGAGGAGGATAAATTGGTTTAGATCTACTCTGCAGTAATGTAGGTTCTGCTCTGATCTCCTATGGTGAGGAGTTTCGGTAAAACTCAATAGTCTTATTTTCAAATTTTTATCTCTGCTCTTTAAATGTGCTCTTCATAAGTGGCAGGGCTTGGATCTCATCATCTTGGGGTACGAAGGGCTTGGAAAATAACTCCTGCTCATTAATAATTATCAAATGGAATTAGCTGGGGGCTACTTTGGCACCAAAGACGCCAGTGGTTGAACTAAGCCTTCTTCACAGAGTAAATAGATTCAATAAGGGGGGGATTTAATTAATTAATATATATATATATTTTTTTGGCTAAACAATGATTTTGTTTAAACCCAAGCTACACAACATGCAATTAACAGTTAAACATCAAAGTGAATACTACATGGAACTGTGCAAGAAATGACCAAAAATATATGAAATTATAGTTGTGCAATAGAGGGCAAAGTTGGTGCTGCTGCTTTTCTTTTAACTGAAAGTTGTGTCTCCATCTGTTAGAGTGTAACACACAAAACCAAACAGCAAAGTCCACAAAAGAACTCTTGCTATTCATAAATCTTAGTACTGTGGACACAGAAAGTTGCCCTTGTGTATCAGAGTATATCAGGGTTTGCTGTGAGCTCAGAAGTTCTTTTATAAGACATATTTTGTGTGATTCATGGTGGCACAACAAGGAGGACTCACACTTCCTGTAGTGCCCAGGGACAGATGGTTCATCTGCTGGGTGAGAGGGCCCATCATACTGGCAGGCTGCATGGACATAGTATGGTCCATCGCTGGCGTGATCACTGCACCCTGGAGAGGGAGGAGAAAATATATATTGATTAAAAAAGAAAAATACAGACAGAAGAAGTTTCTCTCCAACTTGACCTTTTAAAAAGTTTGGATGTAAGAAATTCTTCTGGTTCAGATTACTGTGGCCCCTAATTATTCAATCAGGGTGCTGATTTTATCGCACCACTTTGTGCTAATGCTTTTAACCTCTCTAATGAAACAAACACGATTCCTAATATCTAGAAAACGTTAGGAGTCATTCTGCAAACCAAATCAATTATGACTGAAAGTGTTTGTTTCTCAACAAGATGTGTAACTGAAGAAGTGTTTAAACATTTATGTTTTTTTTTTTGTTTTTTTTTTTTTTAAAGAGCAACATACTGTACAACTACTGTAATCTAGAAAGTAATGAAAAACCCAAAGCACAAAACATCGTCTTTCTTTTTTTTCATGACCCCTTCAACACATGAAACACATTTGATCAAAGCAGAACCTAATCAATACCAGACTTTTTGGGAGAAGTTCTTGAGTGCTGAATATGATCATCAGGATGTGAAACCTCAAGTCATTTCTGCAAGTTTACTCTCTCGCATAGATCAGCACTGAGCCTACTCTCATTCATTCTGTTTATCAGCAGTTTCAATCAAATAAGATTATAAAATGCTCATTTTACTTTTTATGCTGATTATACATTAATTCAATCAGTTTGACCCACACCTCAGTTACCTCATCACTTCCACCATTGTTTAATTATAGTCAAACTTTCTTACAATAGATGCTTGCCTTTATTGATGAAAAAAAATCCAAACATTGCAAATATTTATACCTAATTTAAAAGGTTGTTTTTTTGGCACCTTCATTCCCAGCACTTCAGATCCTCTAAACAGTACAAAAGGTCACTAGATATGTTGACACATTGTGTCTTTATAAACTGTGTTAATACAGATTAAAGGTTTTGTCCAACTTTTTAATCTCCGATCCAATTTTTTTCCATGTCACAGTGACTGCAGCGCATATAGATAGGCTCTGACTTAAGGGTGAGCAGATTCCAATCTGTGTAGATTTTTCTTTTTTAAGAGTATCTGTGCCTCACTTATTGAAACAATGTACCACATTTGACTGAGTCAGATTGTAATAAGAGGATAGAAAACACAAAAAACAACAAGAAAAAAAAAGGCTTGCCTGCAAGGCAAAGAGCATAGCCTCATTCATGACCAACCTGTACAAAACAGATAGAGGATTGTGATATACATAATAAAATGGGAACTAGGTTTAAAGAAAGAAAAACGCAGCAATAAAAGCTGTCAAAGGGTTCATGAGGTACTGGTGAGGCAGTAAGAGGTGAATCTCAGAAAAAAAGTTTTTATCTTTTTTGTCCAAAAACAGGGGAGATCCATAAGCTGCACATTCTTGGTCTGTCCCTTGTTGTTTTTTCGTGAGGCTCAAAAGGGATCGCAATTTTACTTTATCTGTCTTCTGTCCTCCTGAACTCCAATTATAGGTAAAGTACTC